GGCCAGGCGTGTGCCTCAATGACTTCACTTATTGTACACTGAAGCTCATGTTCATGCTTGGCTGAGCACCATAGAATGTGAGACAATGCAACAGCTTAGTTGTGTTTCAGAGCCCAATTAGCTGGAAGGGTCAAAAAGCATTGGGTGGTGTGTATTGCGTAGTACTGCACGACTTTAAAATGGCCACCTTTCACTCTCTTTGCACATGGAATGACCCTGAGGCAAGGGGGTGAGAGACTGGGAGTGTCTCAGAGAGCTGGGGGGGGGTTACAATGACATGAATGAGACTGGCCAGTATAGTGGTAACCCTATAGTGGTAAAATGATGTACATGTATGTGTCTCAATTTAGGACATTTGAAAAAAAATGACTGAAATATTGGACCTCTTACCGTTTTGTGTTTAGGTTTTGGAAAACTGTGAAGCTTTTTTTTTTTAATGTCCTGACAACCAGAAATTTGATTTTTTTGTATCAATAATCATTTTTATGGATAATTATAACAAATAAGTGATTTGGGGGAAGATTTGCAAACAGATACATGTCAGACATTGCATTATTTTTCTGAATAAAAGGGTCTCGACAGTTACATGTAATTTGTTCATGCTGAGATACGTCTTCAAAGTACTTCATTTCTGTGATTCAGAATCACAAATAGCGCCCTCACATTACCAGAATATACTCATAAACAGTGTCCTCACATGACTGCAATATCATTGTAACTCATAAATAGCGCCCTCACATTACCTCGATATCGATTTAACTCATAAACAGCGCCCTCACATAACTGAAATATCACTGTAACTCATAAATAGCGCCCTCACATTACTGTGATATCATTCCAACTCACACACAGTGCCCTCACATAACCACAATGTCATTCTATTTCATAACCAGCGCCCTCACATTACTTGGTTAAAACTCAATTTTTTTATACATCATTTTCAGGGCCCTAAAGACCTGGAAAAGGTGCTGACCAAAGTTTTTTTTTTCAGTGTCGTGAGACTTCAGTACTCTGTAGCGGATGTTTTTTCTTTTGATGCCAGAAAATAGCCAAATTAAATAACGCTCATTTTTTGCGACGTGAATATCATTTGTTTAAATTATTAATCACTACGTATGATCCTTCGATCCTTTGAGTAGTGTACAAATGCAGATAGACTTGCTTCATCACTAAGGTGGAAGCAAGGAACTGCATCTCTGACAAGATTGAGTCCTTTCTTGCCTTTTTGTGAATCAATGCCTAAGATTCAGATGAGGTTCCCTCATGCAATCTTGGAAACTGTTCCTCCTCAGTGATGGAGGCGAGGACTGGCATCTATCTGAGTTACTTCCTCTCCTTGACATTCTCATGAATCATCTCTGTGAAGTCTCATAGGATCTTGTCCTCCATCTTCCTTCTCTCCAGGATGAAGGAGGCGAGGGCGCTCTTCTCATCAGCATCATGGTCTGTTTCTCCTGGGGCATACCCACAGCTTTCATATGAGGAGGTCTGGGGAAGAAATTAATGACAAAAGGAACTAAGTTGCAGCAGAAATTGAGACACTTCTTCAAAATTTACAGGATCCTTGTACGCTCCTTATTTTTACACCTTTTATTTCATAAAAAAACCGTTAGTGTCTTTTGCTTTACATCCAGTTTCATGTCAGAAAATGAACTATGACAAGAGGATGCCTTTGACGATGCGCACCCATTACTTCTGAAAGCGTTTTTGATTTGTACTCTTTGTTAAAAATATTTTTCCAGACACCCCTTTAGGGTTTAGTGAATCAGAAGTGACATTTTTTAAACACTTAAAATTGTCTTTCCCTTTTCCTAACAAGTGAGGGCGCTGTTTTCGAGTAATACTGTAACATCAATCAGGGAAGACCACTAACCTAAAATATCTAAATACCAACAGCTCCTACAGAAATCAATGATTGATCCCGAAAGTGTGGGCAGAAATATTTCAACAGTATGCTCAAGCCTGTTGAGTTGGATGCAAGTCGAAAATTTTGGATGGTGACTGAAATACTGTTAAGTGTTTACGGCGTGGTCCCTTTTTGTGTTTTGGTTCAATATTTGTCAAAATTAAGGTAGATCCTTCTTTAAATATGAGCTTTGAACATAAATTTTTGTCCATATTCATTGCTTACCTTCAAAAAGCCTGAACAAATCCCCATAATGTATGTGATTTTAATTTTTAGACTTATTTTGGAATGTTTTGGAAACACAGTTCTCAGTGCCCTATCAGATAAAATTTGAGAAAATATGTTAAATTTGGTTTTCAAAATATTTACAAAACAACAGGGATGCCAGGAATTTATCTGAATTTCACCTAATGTGCACCTTGGCTTCTACTAATGACTTGTAATAATGGGCAATATTATGAGGAAGAAAAATTGAACTGTGCCAGGTTAAACATTAATTAAAAGACCAACAGGGCCAAAAATGTTCGGGCAATTGCCACAGTTGTTCCCAATCCATCTTCTTTGATGTAGAGCAGTGCGCACAGCAAATCATGAAACCCCTGGGGACAAGGCAGCCATTTGCTCTTGGTTATTGAAAATGGAGACTTTCCTTAAATTATGCCCCTGCTGTTGTCGGTCTAAAAGTATTTTATGTCTATGATTAGACGCTTCATTTCATGAGTTTTACTATTAAAACTATGAAACCAAAATTGCTCCTTGAACATGTTGAACATGTCTCAGGAAATGTGGACCATCAATCAACGGTAATTTGTCATGAAACAGCAACGAACCATGAAGGAAAAGGAACTTTAGGCCGGGAAAATGTGAACTATTCCAGTACAGTGGGTGCATTCAACTAGCTTGCCCTGGTACAAGGGTTTAACCTCATCTTTTTTGTCTTGATTGGTTAACACAATGCACACAACCATCCCCAGGTCAGGGTTGCCATAAAAGCTAGCCACAAGCACCCAAGGGCGGATCCAGGACCCAATTTTTTTTGGGGGGGGGGGTTGGGGACAAATTTGATTCTGGGGTCCAAAATGTTTTAAATTAGAAAGTTGTTCGAGGGGTTAGGCTACATTTCCACTTTTCAAAAGAAGGGAAATTAAATAGACCAAAAAGATCCTTTCACGTTTTCAAATGACAACTATTTTGCTCCTGTTTTGGTCATGACCCCAAGTGGCCCCTCCCCCTTTCCTGGATTCATCCTTCCCGAAAGCCAGCAATGAGATGAAACACAGGACTCTTACCTGTGCTACTCATGAAGTAACCTGCCTCTTCACTTTGGAGATATCATCAGTCAGTCCACTTGCACCATGACACTAGCCAGCCTCAACATTCATGTAGGCAGCCATGGCAGTACATGTACATTCACCTGCTAATGAGGCCTTCCCAAATCTAAACACAGGGAAAAACGGCAGAAAAACAAGAAAAGGTCACCTAAGGTTTTTCAGTCACACTGTAATAATAATGTTTTCCCCAAATGAGCAAAACTTAACAAATTGTGAAAACTCTGGCTGTGTGAATGGAAATTTCTTGAAGAACCTCTGAATTTTACAATATTTGTATTGGGAAGGAAAGTCATGCATACGAAGTTAGTACAAAAAACCAGCATTGGACAGCCCAATTCTTGGGGGATTGCCGCAGCCTGTGCCAATGTAACCAAGCTCTTGTAGAGATGAGACGTTAGGAAGTACCAGGGCCAAATCTACCTGCAAAAATTAATTTCTTCACGGATGGCAAATATGACCGACAAGTGACAGCTTTTCTACCTGCTGTTTTCTCCATCCACTGTTCCTGTTCCTCATCACTGTGAGAGTAGCTGTCACTTGGGTCCTCACTGGAATTGAGTCTTTCTTGAGCCCACTTCTTGAGAAGAACAACACGGAGATAAAATACGGATGTCATCACCGACTCTTGGTCTTAACTTCAGCAGTGAAAACAGAGTGGTGACTTCATCATAAAAACATGGACAAAAAATGTAAGCAGTATCTTTCCTTAGTGGAAAGCCGCATTGAATTGTCAAATTTGTCAAAGGAAGTCACAGTGCAAAGGTTTTGTGTAGAATTGTTCATTTTGTTTCTGATATCTAGGGCCTTTTTGCACACAGTCGTTGGACAAAGTACATGTACTTACCTTCTCTGTCTGTGCTACGGTTAACATCAGAGTCATCTTCATCCTTTTCTGTGAGGCCAAACTTGTCAGAGCTGACAAAGTGTAGACAAAGTAATAATTATTTAAGCAGCAAGACGTAAGGACAGTATAGAAGGACGGTGGTTCCTGGAAACCTGTCCGAATCCTAAAAAATCCTCCCCAGAATGATACATTCTCCAAAATTCTATGGACACATCAAGTCCCATTTGAATTCAAAGAGGCTGGGCTGGGCTCTACCTTCCTCAATCTTCCACAAAATCTCCAGGTGGATTTTGAAGGATCTGGGAAGGTTGGCATTAAGACACATGTAATAGTACCGGGGAAAATGAGTAAACTTGCTGGAATAAAGTTCACNGATGGAAATTTCTTGAAGAACCTCTGAATTTTACAATATTTGTATTGGGAAGGAAAGTCATGCATACGAAGTTAGTACAAAAAACCAGCATTGGACAGCCCAATTCTTGGGGGATTGCCGCAGCCTGTGCCAATGTAACCAAGCTCTTGTAGAGATGAGACGTTAGGAACTACCAGGGCCAAATCTACCTGCAAAAATTAATTTCTTCACGGATGGCAAATATGACCGTCAAGTGACAGCTTTTGTACCTGCTGTTTTCTCCATCCACTGTTCTTGTTCCTCATCACTGTGAGAGTAGCTGTCACTTGGGTCCTCACTGGAACTTGAGTCTCTCTTGAGCCCACGTCTTGAGAAGAACACAAAGGAGGTAAAATATGGATATCATCACTGACTCTAGGTGTTAACTTCAGCAGTGAAAACAGAGTAGTGACTTCATCATAAAAACATGAACAAAAAATGTACGCAGTATCTTTCCTTAGTGGAAAGCCGCATTGAATTGTCAAATTTGTCAAAGGAAGTCACAGTGCAAAGGTTTTGTATAAAATTGTTCATTTTCTTTTTGATATCTAAGACCTTTTTACACACAGTCTGTTTACAAAGTACATGTACTTACCTTCTCTGTCTGTGCTACGGTTAACATCAGAGTCATCTTCATCCTTTTCTGTGAGGCCAAACTTGTCAGAGCTGACAAAGTGTAGACAAAGTAATAATTATTTAAGCAGCAAGACGTAAGGACAGTGTAGAAAGACGGTGGTTCCTGGAAACCTGTCCGAATCCTAAAAAATCCTCCCCAGAATGATACATTCTCCAAAATTCTAAGGACACATCAAGTCCCATTTGAATTCAAAGAGGCTGGGCCGGGCTCTACCTTCCTCAATCTTCCACAAATCTCCTGGTGGATTTTGAAGGATCTGGGAAGGTTGGCATTAAGACACATGTAATAGTACCGGGGAAAATGAGTAAACTTGCGGGAATAAAGTTCACTTTCTCAATCCAGCTTGTCATTGAATAACCTGGTGCTGGGAAGGAACTTACTCAGGTTCTGTGCTCTCCACTGATGCTGCCCACTCATTGGCCACTCCTTGCTCCATCATCTTCTCTTAATGCCTGCCTCCTACAATAAAACAAAAACAATGCATCCCTTCAGCTTTCACTCTTGTCACAGCAACATCCTTCATTTAGTGTTGAAGTCCCCTAACTGTTCACCCCCTAACTTTGGTGCAGTTTGATTTTTTGCCTCCAGTGCCTTGCAGGAGCAACATTTTTACCTCAAATTTCAAAGTAAGTGAACTTTCATCCAACTCCCACTAATCTAATTCAAAACTCCCGATTTTACTCACCCACTACAACTTTCCAATGAAATTTTATTTTGGCTCAATTTTCTAATTTTGTTTTTCTTCAGTGCAAAAGGGACACTTCTAAACCTGCCAAAACCTTCTAAATCTGTGGTCTGGAGCTAGGTCTAGGTCTTCGCTGCATTGGAAATGTATGGAGACACATAGACAATAGACCTAGCCGTAGCTCTAGAAGCCCGTTTCGGATACAACCTTAGTTATAGCCACAGACGGCACTACGACGGCATAAGACATAAAGTGTCCCAAATTGCCACACATTTCACATTCAGGCAAGATACATCTCAAAAGGCAGTTTCTAACTTTTCCGGTCAGTTCTGAATTTGACTCTCAAAAATGAAGAAAACCTTGGTATAAATAGAAGATTTCAACTGCGAATTCCTTTTGGAAAACAGTTTAGGGAACGAGTTTCAATGCCAGTAAATACTACTCACCGGAAGTAAAAAAATCGTCTGGCAAGTGACATTCATTGTTGGCTGCAGTACGGCCTCATCCTAGCTCACTGGTGGCGCTGTAACCGGACCTGGTGCTGTCACACAGCAGCCAGCTGCGTGGGCACAATCTAAATAGATGTCCTGGACGAGAGCGTCGGTTAGAATTTTACTTGTGTAGTCTATGTTAGTTTTGCTGCACGGTCAGGCATAGCTTACCTCGGGATTTTTGTTCAATCTTTTATGATCTTCTGGCTTCTTCTCGCTTCGTCCATCCGATCATGGGAGGGCATCTTCACCACGCCCTGTCAAAGCTGCAAACACTGCTGTGAATAAACCAAACTTGAAGGAGGAAAGACAGACCAGCAGAGAGGAAGAGAAGTGGGTGGAGAGACACCGACCTAATTCCCTAAAAACTCTTACTTACTTTCGATTTTCCACTTACCTAGCTGGCCACTCAGAGTCACCGTAGCCTCTCCCGTGCCGTTATTCACTGAGCACACGTAGTCGCCGTCCTCCGTCCCCGAGTACGGGTTGAGGTCCACGTGCAGACGAAACACTCCGCCGCTGCGGTCCTCGTACACGGAGTGGATGACGTCATTTTCTATTCTCAGGCGATCATTACCAACGACTCGCAGCCAATCGGCGTGATGGACGTGATCGACGTCATCAGCGGTGCAAATAAAGCGGACGGGCTGACCTTGAACTGGTTTCGTCACACTTGCAGAAATGGATCCATTGTAAGCTGCATTGTATACAATACACTGTGAATATTAATTAATTTGATTCAATTCAATTCATACACCTTTTGATATCGATAAAGATGACACTTAAGAATTAAGTATCTAGACAAAGAAGAAACCCCCAAACAGTGGAAGCAGGGATGGCGCAGAGAGGTTTGAAAAAGTTAATTCCATTTTGTCTCAAGAATAAAAACGAAAATTATGAAGAAAAATTGTAAAGCTACAAGACAATCCGCCTCGAGCAGAAGCCCCCCTCATCGGTTGAAAAGAGCCATATTGGTCCAGAGTGATCATTTTCGTTGGTAGCGATGCGACCGTGACGGATGCATTTTCTCAGTCGTTCGTGAACCACCAATGCGCAATTACTACCAAAGAAGCCTCCATTGCAAGGAGAATTGCGCCCTCTCTCTTCCCCATACAGAATGTCCATTTAAAATGGAAGAAAAAATACCTTTCATACAAACGCTCAGTTTTTAATTTGTACCCGTTGAGCCTGTATTGAAATAAGTCATACTCATCATGCGCGTGACTTGAAGCGCACATTAAATTAGCCAACTGTGGGAGAACCCCAAGCTGACCCAATTACTAATCGGGATAGTAAGATTTTTTTGTTTCTCACCGAAACGGGCTTCCAGCGTGATATTAACGACTTGTCCCGCAGCCGTAAATGAGCACCTGTATGTCCCGTCGTCCTGGCTGAAACTATAATGGTGGACTGTCAGCCTCGAGACCTTGGTCAGATTACCCACTACAACAAATAAGTTGTTCTGGATCTAAGCCACGAGGGGAAAAAAGGAAGAAAACTATTTGCTTGGGTAGCTTTTTTCACAAATTAATAAGTTTCCACTCGTCCACAGGCTGAGTAAATATAAAAACAAGATAAGGAAATTTTATACATGTATAAAGCCAAGAACAAGGTGGAGATATGAGCAGAAACGGCTGAATAAAACTAACAATAGTTTGAGGGAGTTCTTTCTATAAGACTTCAAATTGTGGCAGCGTAGGGTTAGCAAATGGTAAGGAGTTGTAATGTGGAATAACCTGGTACTTGCTGGTAGTGTGGTTAACCCCGTCGCCATTTGGAATAACCCAAATGACGTCAGGTTCAATGTTGGGATAGGACACTGCGCATTCCAGCTGGTAGGAATTGGTTCCTTGGTCAAAGGTGGCGTTCGCCCAAACTTTTCGGAGGCCAGACTCTGTAATGAAGGGGAAAAATTGCAAATATCGCTTACTAATAAATTGTGTTTACTAATAAATAGAAGGCGGAAAGAGTTTAGAGTAATAATGTGCGCATGAACTCACTGCCCACAACAACCGAAGTATCCCTAGCGGTGTCAGAGTTCACTAGGCATGCGTACTCCCCCTCGTCACTTTGGATAAATCGGCTGATCGTCAGCGTTGACTGCCAACTGGTCGCATTGTTCACTATTTTAGCGATGAGATATCGTCCACTGGACCTCACTATGGTAAAAGGATCGCTCGTCGCTGCCGTGCGGTGGCCCCACTCCATGACGTAAATGTCGTCATCAGACGCTACGCATGTGATGATTACGTCACTTCCATAGTAGGGAGTTTGATCGCTTGATACAGTGACAATACCTTGAAATTCTGTGAAAATAATGAAAGAATAAAAGCATTAATGTCAGTCGGTAATTTAGCGATGTACAGGAACGGAAATGATATTTCAGAATTTGATTTCTGTGGACTTAGTAAAAGGACTTAAAATGTTTAACTTACTGTACTGTGTGGATATATTAGCCTTCTCAACCTTGATCCCAGACTGTGCAACGCACGTAAAGGTCACATTATCGAGGTCCGGACGAAAACCAATGAGTGTCAGAGTGGATACCCTCGTGGGGAATGTGTCTATCGTGTCCGAGATCTCCCAAACGCCCTGGACCGGCGAGACGGGCGAACCATCGGCCAGCCAAGTGACGTTGGGTACTGGGTAATGCTCGGTGAGACACGTCAAGGTGAAATTATTGCCGACGACGTCGTAGTGTTTGCTCAGCTGCACGATTCGAAGTGTAGATTCTGAAAGGTGAATGAACAGAGGCTATTCTGGTGACAAGATGAGCCCCCAGTAGGATTTAGAAAGTTAATAACTGACGGTTCGCTCCTAACCCTGATCGACTGTAACTGTACAGCGATCTCTTGTTTAACAGTAACGCTGTAGCTTCGAACAGTTCTTTAGAAACACAATCTTGGATAGTGCAAAACTGATTCAAATCAAATAAAAATGAGCTTCCCCTTGCTCTTTCGCAGCCTGCCCGAAGGTAAACACCTCACCCATCTCAAGGCATCCTTGTAGACATGGACTCGCCCGTAAGGCAGAGTCCAGCGACGCTCTTACCTCCCACGGCGCACCCGTAGATCTCCACCCTCACCATGATTTCATTGTTCCAGAGTTTGGGCGAGAAGCGGAGGAACCTCGTGGTGATATTAGGGGTGAGAGTGGTGAAGCTGGTCGGACCCTCACTGTAGTTTGAGTTGAATACCTGGAACAAAGCAAACACCATGATTGTTGGAACCGCTGATGGTTCTACGTCAAAAACCATGGGAAACAAGATATCCAGCGAGTGGGATTAATTTTACACAGCAAAATATTGGTACGAAATTCAAACTGACTATTCAAAGCAGCTATTTCTTCAGGTAACAGCATTTTCATTAACATTTTCTACACAGTGAAAGTTTTGGGCCATTCTCAAATTCGAGACCTGCTGACTTCTGAAAGCAAAAATACTCACGCTCATCCCTCGTGCATCTGTATAGAGCACCCAAGAATCATCTTCATTTGCTTTAGCACGTAGACTGAACTCCTGAACGTGGTTGATCGGGGGAGAGTTATCGGGGTCTCCCTGGACAGCGATGCCCGTTATCTGTCGAGTCACAGACATGCAAAAGAACCTTTCTTGAAAGCTTGGCTGAAACACTTCAGATTTGACTATCTTAAACAAACGTCTCCATGGCAGGAGAAGAAAACTGGGAACTTTTTCAAATCAGTAAAAATGCGGCCATTTAAATACCACATCCACTGGCAGCGAAATAAGTCAGTTACATGTATTTCTATTCAGTGTGTTTAATAGTTCAACCCGTTTGCGAATCGGTGGCTGAGAAGTTTATGCCATCCTCTACACTGGCAGGATTCATGTTTAACTTTGAGAAGGAGGACAGACACACTAACGGAATAAAAGGGATTTCCTGTCCATTGTTCACCGGATATTTCCTCTGTGGTTCAAGTTCCCTGTGCTTAATTGTTTATGGCAGAAAGCCATACTGAACGACAGGAAAAACAATGCCTTGACCTCTGGGATCGAGGTAGCAAAACACGAAAGCGTTCAAGCGTTCATCACAGCACGGCAAGGCAAGTGCAGAAGGCTTAGGAGAATGACATTCACCAGTTGTGGAAGAAGGTAAGAAAGGAGAAACGACAGGAGGAGTTATTATGTTCCTACCGCAAAATCGACACCGAGATCGAAATCCAGCCATTGGTTGGCGTCGCTCGTGGTAGGTACCCACGGATCTAGCCCATTCACTCCCGGAACCTGAAAGGAGAAGAGAAACATTTTAACTGCAACTTCCGATAAACTTCTTCAAAGTGTTGAAAATCGAGATGAATGTAACAAAGACTTCAGAATTCAATCATTCTGGTGGTCATGTGGCAGTGGACATAAACAGTACAGTTGGGATGGGTGATTATGATGGAGGGGAACTGAAATTCCTCTCCAGGGGTGAGGTGGGGGTCAAGGGAAACAGGTCTCGGCTGTGGGGTACATTTCTCTATAACTTGTACAAATATCTAATTAAGGGCGTCATTATGCAAAATGCGAAACCAAACAACTACCTGTAAAGAGGACTACGCTTAGGCCACACCAAGCCCCACCCCGGTAAAAAAAAGAAGCCTCACCTTAAACGGCGACGACTTGACAGTTGATGGCGTTATTTGTACAACCCCAACTTCACCGCTCGACACACCCACCGGTAACTCGCAGAATGATGCTGTGAGAAAAATTATTAAACGCATGTGTAAAGTATACTGATGTGAATTTATAAACCAAACAACATTCAACAATATTGATGCAGCAGGCGCTCCATCATCAGTTCAACACCCTTGTTGATGGGTGTTGAACAAGATACACTCCTAAAACCTCTCCTAGAATGTGCAACTGATTATTATCAATTAAAGCAAGTGGTTAAGTCAGTAAGAACCATCTCGCCGTGAACTGCACCCTGTCTACTCTTTCGTGAGAGAAACAGTTCTTGACAAATTTAGTGAACTAACGCAGGGAGATAGCGATTGTCTTGGCATCGACGAATACGTCGTCTCGAGCGATGCACACCAGCGAGGTGTTGGCGAGCGTGCTGCTGACGAAGTTATCGATAGTCATGACGGATGGCGAGACGTTGGAATCGATACTGATGATTCCTCCCGACGCCAGGGGTGCTGCTGCAGCGGGACGGGGGGTTTCAGGGTCAAACCGCGCCCACTCCATCCTGAATGAACCCACGGTCGGAGAGCCCACGGTGGCTGTGCAAGTCAGTCGCAGATCAGGGTTTAAGTGGTGACTCTCTTGTCGCAGTCCGTCTACGCTGATGGATTCCAAAGCTGTTCATAAAGCGGAACAAAAAAGCGGCTTGAAAAACGTATATAACGCAAATCTACGAAATGAAGAAACTTCGATATTCTCTTTGAGGACTTAGGACTGAGAAAAGTCTAAGCCATCGTTGAAACTTTATTATTGCTTTAGCTGCAATGAAGGACCTAAGACTTAATGCAATACCTGTAGAATCCGGGCACCTGTAACGCACTTCGAAATCAGGACACGATCCGGTGTTATCTGCGTGCTGACAGCGGAATCCATTGGCATTACAGAGATACGGAACCTCAGGAACGAATCCACTGGCCAGAAGGTCTTGCTTGGACGCCTTCAGGCGACATTCTGCGCCTATGGGCTGGCTGCACAGGTCAGGGTACGCCTTGAGGGAAAAACAGATAATGGATAGATGAGGGTGCGGACCTATAAGCGACTTTCCGCACCTTCAGGCACGCCTGGGGCTGTATCGTATATTGTGAATGGCCCAGTAAGCTGCGAGCATAGACATTTCACGCCGCGGTAGCAAGTGGACCCACGGATAAGACTAAACCGCAGGATTGCCAGGGTTTGCTTTACCTGAGGAAAAAAACCTGCATGCATGGATGCATGAAACAAATCGTGGGTCTTAAGGTGACTTTTAGCACCCGTAGGCCTAAATATGTATCGGCGATGTCCTTCACTTGAAGCTGTGAGCTCAGCGTAAGCCTCTCAAAGCAACACAGAGTACCTTTTATCCAGGGTGAATGTTAAACTCTAACATCATAATGAGCTTTTTCAAGATGTATTTTTTTTAATTTTTGTATTTTTGTATTTGTGAGTTTTTTTTTCGCAATCTCTCGGACAAGCACTGAGCATACAGTGCTTATTAATATACGTTGGGTACGGGCAAACCGTTATATATAACTAATGAGCTTCTTTAGTCTTTGTGCTACCATGGAGGATATTCCTCCATGGTGCTACCAATGACACGTTCACTGTTTGGACACTTTGAATAATTAGGTTTTATACTTGGCAACGAGGGAATAGAATCGGTCATAGGAATATTACCCGGCTCATACACCAACCAATAAAGGTTAGGATTGACCACTGTAGGGCCTATTCCCATATCATAAAATCTCATTGTGTTCACTCACCAGGGACGTGTGAGTGGCCAGTGTTTCGTCCTCCACGGCTCCGTCAGGGTCTTTGGCGTCATACCAAGGCGTCCAACGATTAAGGGCTAATTGGGAGCAAGACAGCGAAGGGACAACGGAAAACAAAATGCAGAGAGGCAGAACGAAACTAAGCAATACGAAAGAGAACATTCAAGTGTCGAAAGCAAACGCCAGCTGTTTTGATCGGAGAAATATGGAAGGGCTGCGTAGCACCGTGATCAGAATAGCGACAAGAATATAATATCAAACGAGTGAGTGCTCTGAAATATTTCAGAGCAACTGTTTTGATCGGCACGGTTTTGTCTATGACTAAATTCCGTTTTCATCTCTTGTTTTCTACCTGGATGTTTAATCTTGACATTGTGTTTGATACCTTCAAGATTAGCTTGTCTTTAGGTTGTTTCACATTAAGCCTATGATGGGTAGGCCTGATCTCATAATGAAGATAGACGACACTCACACAGATTTAGAGATGTCTTTGGCAGGAACGCACCGACAGGTCATCCATTCTGTGATTGGCCAGGTTCAGGCCAATCACGAGGCGCGCTGTCATAAGAACATAGGTCGCGTCCAAATTATGTACCTTGTACTAGGTCTTTGCCGTGTGTATATAAGGCCTATGTGGGTATCTTCTGACAACAGCCCGAGCCCTAGTTCTGGAAGCCGTTTTCGGGATGAGACCTGAGCCCCCAAAAGGAGATGTCCCGGTGAGTTGCCAAGTCCCAGAATCTAACTAACTTTGAGAGATAGAAGTCTTTAAAGCATACTTACGTTCGGGACATTGGTAGCGGACCTTGTAGTCGTAACACCAGTAGCCATGTTCCGCACTCTGATCAGCACCACGGCACTCCAACCCAGACGATAACGTGCAGCTGATGTTCAGTACCTGCCCGGTCTCATTGGATGGTAGGCCGTCATAAACTGTACGGCACTCGATGTCGCTGGGATACTTGCAGAGCAGATCATACTTCTGTCTTTGTTTGATCAGCGTTTCTCTGTCGTCGCCATCCAGGGTGTTATCAGCACTCAACCACGGTGTCCAATACATGACACCTGTAGCCAAATGAAAACAAACATCAAAACCATCATCTGTTCGGACGGTGGAATTTGAGACAAGGGCCATTTTTGGGAGACGGTGGTCAGGGGAGTTAGCAAAAATTTGAAGGTACATAAAATTCCGTATCTATTAGTGTTCCATTAAATTCTGAGCTGAAGGGCCAGAAAGGGAACGAGCATTCAGAGCGGGAAACTGTTTAGAGGGAGCCGGTACCTTGCTCCTCGGTTAGTTACGACAATGCACAGACTTTTCCAAACCGCATTTTACATAAATGAAGTTCGCGAGCTGGACGAGAGTCAACTTTGAGTCAAACCCTAGCCCTCAATTCTTCCCCGAACAACAGCAAATCCAAAAGTCACTATTTGATCTGGAGTCTCTATCTCTCTTTCGTAGGAAGAGACTTGACACTCACGTTTCGGAATGGTGACCCTCTTGGACACACTACCCCCGCGAGCAGTGTCCACTGCCTCGCACACGAAGATGACATCGGATGAAAAGCTGAGATCGCGAGCGACCAAGATCGATCGTCTTCTATAGCTGTTGGGTGAACTCTCGTAAATAGCCACGTCTGCCGACGAGGAAACCGGCTCAAAGTGCGCGCCGTCGACTGAGCGATGCCAGACGATAGTCGGTTGACTGCCAGCCTTGGCAAGGCACTCCAGCTCGACCCCAAAGCTGTCCTCGTGACTGTGCTTCCTCAGGTAGTGGATGAGAAGCTTGGATTCTGGTTAAGGAACGGTTTGAAGAAATACAGAAAAATGTAAACAAAATTACGAAGAATGCTGAAGTAATAAACGACGATCCATGAGTGTGCTTCAAAAATCTAGATTCAATTTGAACATCCAACTTAACGAATTTGTCCACTGTGAAACGCATCAATTCTGTAACGTAAAAAAGAAGACTTTTTTGTTACAAAACTTACCGGAGGTTTCTTGAAGATACGCGTTCTGGACTTCTGTTTCGTTGAAAGCCTTGTAAAACATCTTAAAATTGCTGAAGTCTCCGTCAATCAGCTCTAGTGGCCACCCACTTGGATCGTTGTTTCTCGAAAACATGACGACATCGTCATAATTCGAAGCAGAACTGCCCCCGATTTCGACTGTGTCGGTGGTCTCAACGAAAACACCGTCCTTGTAATAATTTGCTCCGACCCCCGGCTCGTAGGTGAAAGAGTGGTGTGTCCACTGATCGTCGGGGAAGTAGCTCATTACGTTCAGTTTGAAAGCCTGTGAAGTAACGAAACCCCTAACATCGAAAGTAATATAGTCTCCTAAGTATAGTGCCAACCCCCTCGCCTTTGAAGCATGACCACCGGTCGACATTATGATAGTTGTAGGAGTGAATGCTGGCGTTCTATTCCTCATCCAGAATGTCATAGTAAAGCCCGACGTGCAGCAGACAGGCTCGGAGATGCATCTGTCGTTACCTGATCCGTAGTTAATCCAACCTGCCTTCTGGTTCCTGACGGCACACAGGTGATCCGACGAGTCGAAGCTGTCGGTGACATCAAGGGTGCCACCTATGATGCCCGTCATGCCACCAGCAGTGGGGTAGATGGACGACACAGTACCTACACAGGTCACGGGTTCATCAGCGTCCACCGACGTCTTGGTGCTCATATCCCAGTGGAAATGTGGCTCGGGAAAGGCATCTAAAACACAGACAGCAGCAACACTGAGAAGTTAAGATTTATCTTCCTGAATGTGATTAAATCTCACCAGTTTTGGTTAGGTCTGGCCATGTCTGGTCAAGCCAGTCCAACCGCGTGGAGAAATGAACGGATTTGAGATGGGGGCCAGTTCAGTCAAGTCAGCTCAGGACAAGTCAAATCAAATTTAAAACATATCTTATATTGATACAATTAGATTGATTCTAACCAGACAAAATACTTCAGGGTGTTTGTTTATATATTGCGACTTCGCCCAAATTGTGATTCAAGTTTCTGTTCCCCGAGTCTTGTGCATCTTATCGGAGAAGCACAGACGTAGGTCTAGTATAATGCTACTGTGAAATAACTCGGGTACCGTTCGAGGTCGGGCACTGGAATCTTATCTCGTAATCAAGGCATCGTCGCGAGTCGGCTTGGTCGGCGTCTCGGCACAGCAACCCTCCGGTAGGAGAACAGCCGGTGACCAGCGTCTGGCCTGCAGTCACGTGGTCGGTGTGCAGGAATCGAACCCGGCAGTTGGCTTGGGTAGGAGTGGGGCACACGGCGGGATGCACCTACACAAGCCAGCGCAGCGAGAAGGAAAAACACGGCACAATCTCACAACGTTGCTAAGCGCAAAATACTGCCAAGTAAGTTTATGCCCTAAGCAAGTATCAGGAGGGAACCAGTCACGTGAAACGTAGAATGCAATTTCAGTTGCCATGGTTAACCCACCTTTTCAAAGCAAATACTTTTTAGCCCAGCACATCTGTGGCTTCTGTGTGACCGACATAGAGACAGACACAGACGCTGAGTGACAGACAAACAGACTAACCGCTTTGACCGCTGCATGAGTTTCATCGTCCGTGCCATCATCAGGATTGTCCACGTTGTACCATGCCGTCCAGCTGGTGGGCGGTACAGTTGGGGGTATTGGCGATTCTTTTAAGTTAACGAGAGAAAAGATTCCACGCTGGTGTTTCATTTACGGAATAGGCCGAGATATAAATAGGGTGGAATTGCTTGACATCCTTCGAGAAAGCACACTTGAAACAACAAATTTCAAGAACAAGCAAATTGTACCACGTCATCGAATACTGATGGTGAAATTGCCTCGTTGTTGACACTATCGAGCGATACGATTTCGATACTTTTTACCTAACAGGAGTCGGGCTTTGATGTGCCTTTCTGGAGGCTGCACGAAAATTTTGCGAGAATTATTTGGAACACTGCCGTACACAGGAGGGTGGAATCCGCCTTCTACCCCCTTTGCTGGTCACAAATCATGGAACATTCAAGCCGTTAATGGACTCGTAACGAAGGACACGCATGATAATGGACAAGAACTCGGCAGATGAGGCCAAGACTTACCGTTAGCACATTGCGCACACGCAGACGGTAGTTGCAGAAACAAACACTGCATGAGGAAAAAGGTCTATGTTCAGAAAGGATGCCATATTTGCTGAGGCTCCCACCACCCACTCGAGTCTTGACGAGTTCACGAAACATGATGTCCATACTTCCCCAGTTCCGTCAAAACCGGTGTTGAATCGACATCAACACATTTTAAGCCTCCACTTTTAAGCCTAAATCTGAGCCTTCGTCCAGCGCCACTCCTTTCAACTCAGACCTTCCAAAATATTTCTTCGGTTATACACAGCCTTTGGCAAAGATCAGAGCCAATAGTTTAATGAGAAATAACTGTCTAGTGTCTGCGTCCGAAATTTTAATTTTCACATGGTGTTTTGCTCATCACTGACGTATATTCAAACGTTGTACACACTTCGTATTGTTCCAAGGCTTGTAAACGTCAGTACTAGCATAGGAAGGCTGTTGTGGGTTTGAGTCCCATCCAAATTGCTTGTAAATTCGGACAAGAGTTACTTTACAGTGTTAAAAAAAATAATATTACCTTTGGAGGAAGGTCAAAGCACCTTCCAAAAAAAATCACTTGTTGTGGTACTGAATCTTACTCATTTGATAAGAGCAGACTTAAAACATATTATGACACTTTGTCTTTGTTTGTTGTATAACATGTGAAATGTTTATAAAAGGTGAAAACAAAAAACAAACAAAACAAAACAATCCCCACACATAAGAACTAAGACTTACCATACATAGGACGAGCCCTTTCATTCTAGCCTTAATACCCATCACCACTGTCACTTCCAAATGTGACTTGAAGAGAGCGCGTCAGCTCCTCAGAGAATGATGATGATGCGATCATTATCTGTTCTAATACACGGCCACCTGGCTTAATAAGGCACCACTAAACACGCTGGACACCAATGAAAATGTGCTACCGTCGGATGGCGGTGACATTCCCAAGCAGTCGGTGACAGTCTCATGAGCGTGCGCAGTTGCGATTTTTTAGAAGTGGGAAAAAATTACTATGGAACGCCAAAGAGGCAAGAACTCGGTGGTAATACATCGAGCATTCTTCAACATCGATTGATCGATCCACTACATCGATCGGTCCCCTACGTCAATTCATCGTTCTTTAACGTCGTTCTCTTTTTATTGATGAAAAAAGTGCGATTGAAAAAGAGCGATGGAGAACGGGCGATGGAGAACGAGCGATGGAGAGGGAGCGATCTGACGAAGGTCGGTGAAATTACACCGATGCGAGCTGTGAACAATTGTATGAGTGCGCGCATGCGTATACACGCAATTTCACCTCTGCCTGCTAAGTTGGTTCATAGAGCTACAAACCTTGGTTGGAGTGGACTTTGGCCGCCATCCATGAAGTGTTTGTGTTTTCCAAATTGTTTTCTTAACAAGAAGCGTTTTGTGGCTAAGAAAATAGCAAGCCTGAGGGAAACCTGTTTATGCAACCAGACCCCGAGCGTACATACATGTCCGACTGGAAAAAAAACAGCACACCGGATGAATGGGAACGTTGCGGCAACGTGCCCGTTTATCCGGTGTGTTCTCCCGGAAATCCAAGCATGCCAAAAAAAAAATGAGACCGTTATACCGGTTTCCCTTGCTATTTTCTTAGCCACAAAACACCCTTTGTAAAGAAAACAATGTGGAAAACCGCAAACAAAATTCATGGTGGCGGCCAAACTCCACTGCAACCGACTTAACACACTGCGTGATTATAGACCTTTTTTCACCCACGTGACTGGATTGCGATAAGTGTAAACAATACCACAACGTACGTATGGACCGCCTTGGCCAACTTGAGGGTGATCGCGTATTTTCCTACGGGCAGTTTCAACCACGAGGAAACGCACATGCGAACGCTGCATGCTTGACTAGTTTATCTTGAATAGGTAGATTACCATCACAGCACTATGCACTCATTACCTTCACAACACATCACAGGCCCAGAACGATTGCGACATCACAGAGGAAAAGGTCTATAATGCGACTTGACATTTGAATCCAGACGGTACTTATTTAAATCAAATCCTCAGGCTACCCGATCCTCGCCAGATGAGACACCCTTGGCAAAGAGTCACATAATGTTTTTTTTCTTTAACGTGCCCTTGGATGGACTGACTCGTTCTCAAACAATTATCATCGCGACAACCCGCCATTTCGCCGACGTTTAAGCCCGCGCGTCTTTTTTCCCCTTAATTCCCCTTAAGAAATACGTTTTGGGGTAGTTTACATCCTTTCTGCTTCTTTATTGATTGGGATCAGAGTCACTTCCTCTGGTATTCCGCTTCTGTCGATCTACAGTGACCTGCTTGTGATTACAACAGACCTCTTTTCCATCCGTTTCTTCTTTCACTGGTCTGTGAATTCAATAAAGCAAACCCATTTGCACGGCGCCTTCTCAGGAATCGTTAATGACCGAGCAATCTTCAATCGGTTAATCGAAAAAAAAATGGTTCTGGTCCACACGAGAACAGCAAACGCCCGCGGAGAAAAATGTCAGTCTGAAGCTGAGGAGATCTTCGAAAATTCGTGTTTTTCAAACAGTGATTGCTCACATCAGGTGCACCGAGTAGAGCTGTCTGACATTTCTCCGCTATTACCCACCGTTTGTTCGTGATAGTTATGTCTATGTACCAACGTCCACAATTGCGCCCTGATTGGGGCTTATTGTTCAGTGTTGCCGCAAGGTCACAGTGACTGGTGGTTTGCGCAGCTCCTGCCCAACTTCGTCAAAATAAAACAGCTGTCTACCTGACGAGTAGGCACCCGTTCCTGTTTGTTGATCTCGGCAATAGTTTCATCAACTGTTCTGATACGGAACCGTCGTTTAAGGTAACAGTGTTTTTATATCATTTGACATGAAGATGATTGTACTGGTGAGTGCTTTTGTCAATGAACGTTTTGAAAGAGGGAAAGACAGTCCATGAATTCCGCTGTAGGCAAGTTGAACCCCCCATCTCAAAACAGCTGACTTTTGGTGTTAAGAGGAAAGCAACGTAGAATGCATACTTTGGTTTGGCAACGCTTTCCAAGTCTTTTGACTCCATAAAGAGATTAGACAGATATTTTGAATGCTATAACAATGGTGATTAACCATTACACATAATTATTTCTCTCTATATTTTCTATTTGAATTCCCTTTATATGTTTATCTTTTCTTTCTTCCTTTGACTTTCTGAGACTTTTCTGGGCTGAGACACAGCGTGGCCTTATCCTGAGTTTCCTAAATGATTTCATTTGATAGAATTTAGTATTTATATTGTTGTATTAGTCATTCCGCGAGGTTGGGGTACAATTTGTGACGGTGTAAATTGTTACATGGGTTCCGTAAAAATGAACATCTATTTCCCTGCATGTGGATTCCAAATTGGCATTGTTATACATCTTGCAAGGCTGAATACAGAGGTGTGTGTTATATTTACAGAGTAAATGACCTACTCTACAGGTCATGACAGGTGGTAACAGGTTTTGGATGTAACGAGGACACCGTCACAAATTGTGCCCCAACCCCATGGAATGAACCTTGTACAAAGAGGTGAAGAGAATCGAGGGGGAGCCGCTTTCATGCTGCCTTTATCTCAGTCGCCTTTTCATCTAGAAATGATGGGAAAATGCTGAAAACTCCTCTGTTGTGATGCATAAAACGATAGAGGGAAGGTCCAATTATGCAGATTCGTTAATACATTTCTTTTGTTCTTGTGGGGTTATGGTTTACAGGGATGAATTTTGGTCTACTTTGCTACCTTTTTCAGCAACCATTTTTCTTATAATTGTAGGTTCTTCTGTGGGGTACTACACCGTGGTGCGACCGCGCTGGAGCGCTCCATCCTCGTTCAAGATTAAGTTCTACCACTTGCGCTCCTTGATACGGTGCGCTACTGTCTGTCTGGAGGATCGAGAGTGCGTTAGTTTTAACTACGCGGACGAGCCCGGTGAAGGATCTCTGAAATCCTGTGAACTCTTCGGCGGGTATTACAGCATAGCGCAACTGGCGCATACGCCCAAGGTGCATTATTTCACCTTAGAAAACCAAAAACAGATCAAACGGGCATAAAAAAGCCCAATTTCACTCATGTTTGTGTGCACGCGAAAACAACCATCCATCAGGAAAGAGTTTGTCTCAGGAGTTGACAAATAAAATAGCAAAATTGCTACAGAAATATTATCTTTCATTAAACCGTTCAGTTCCTAGTTGGACTGGAAAATAACAAGTTGGTCATATAAACACAACTGTCAGAATAAATCCCTCCTCGTTGGAATGTGTTAGAAATGGGTAGCTAAGTTAATATTGTAATTCCATTTACATGTGAGATAACAATTTAAAGTGAGTGTGATATCGGAATTTTAAGCATGGCAAATAGTTATTAGATGAATCAGATTATTGCAAAAGGTGTTCATTAAATCTACGGAAAGAATTATCTAACACTATTATATACAGGGGCATGATTTATTTATTTAAACTTGCAGTTGAAATAAACACACACAGTGACGGCACTATTCGTGTCCCGCTTTATACCATTCATTTTTTATTTCCTCAGATTTTGAAAATAAGCATTTACCACTGCACAATCAAGATGCTATCTTTCGACACAAATGCCGCTATTAAAAAGGATTAATTTAGGAACTAAAACTGACTAAAAAAAAATTATCCGAATTGGTTTTCAAACTTACACAAAAGATCACAAGCTATATTTGGAAAACCACCAATTTACTTAAAAAGCCACCCCTTCGTTGACGCAACAGGCTTTTTACGAGTTGCGCAGTGCTGAAAGACGACACGTGTACTGTACATGTACGTACGTGTGAATTTGGATACACGATAATGCTCGACGCATCTCGTCCTCTGAAATTAGCATAAATACGTTTTATTTCCCACTTTTTAGGTGTGTGTGTGGGGGGTTGTTAATTCCCACAGTACACGTCACTACGGCCGTAGACTGTGCTCTAACACTACTTTCCAAGAGTCACAAAATATGAATCAATGCATATTACTAAGAAATTTAAACGCGGTCACTCTGTTGACTTGGAGCTAAACATTGAAACATTAAAAATTGAACAGGAATAATATCACTTAATACGGTTTGCACTTAAATATTATCACAATGAACATTCAAAATTACCAATGGACCAAATCTTATGAAATAATGTTTTAAGAAAAGAAATTGTAGTTACATGTTATTTTCAATTGACTCAGCAAGGTCTACGGGGTCACTGACCTTATGAACCACCACCATCCCAATCATCGGCTGAGTGGGTGTAGAAACGGGCGTGGCTTTGGGTGGAGTCATGGGCGTGGCTCCTTGGTACCTTGGCTTGATGAGCTTGGGTTTGGGCAGGGCGACTCCTTTGTTCTTGAACATCAGGCGGTCCAGCGCGTGAACTGAATTATCCCTAGAAAAATAATAGTTTAAGAAAGAATCAGAGTATACTGACACATTTGCATCTGTTTGCCAGTACCCTTAACAGATCTTGTTTTCGTTGAAGAAAAGGCCTTTCCAATGACGAGGTGAAATTGTTGAGGATGTTCAAAAATAATCTCGCAAATTGTTCGTTAAGACACGATAATCATGATTTTTCGGCGCCATTTTGTTTCGTTTCATATTCTGTGTCACGTCTGAACGAGCATGAGCAACAAAACGACACAATCAACAGACCGCCATCTTACTTCTTGCAAATGTAACGACAAACGAAAGCTGCAGGAATGCCGAGTAGGACGAGACAAACTCCGACGGGTACCAGCCAAGCCAGTTTGCCTGCAACCAAAAAAAAAAAAATTGTTAAGAGAATTTAGAACAACCATTCTGAAAAGCTGAAGTGAAATTTAGGATGGAATTTTGATAGCAAGATAATGATACTAAATTATCAAATCCCCTGTTCCTTTTTATC